ATTTTCCGTGCTGGCCTGAAAACCATCGTTATAGCGGTATAAACGTAGTAATATAATCGAGACAGAAGATCGTCATAACTGAACCTCTTGTTTAGGGACGTTCCTCCTACTGCCGCCTTCGCCAATGCTTACGCTCGCTAATAAAGCCGGCTTAAAAGCCCTTGATCGTGCGAGAGTTAAGAAAGAAAAAAGAGAAAAGAAAAAAAAAATCTGCCCTGTCAACTCCAGGTTCCGTTGCTTCCTACGCCTCTCTTGCGTGACCGATACCAACTGTGTTTCTGAACATCTCCTGTCCTCCCGATGTGGAGCCGTTATCAAGGTCTGAATCGTCAGTGCTGTTATCTCCAACACGATTCCACGAGCAGCTGAGCATATTGAGCAAGGTCAGCCGGAACTTTGCGTTGAGGAGCACGTAAATTATCGGGTTGTAGATAACGGAAGCTTTGGCCATCAGCTCTGGAATCATGGAGTATGCGGGAGAGATACTTTCGTGTCCAAGCGCAGAACCCACCAAGCTGGAGAAAGCGTATGGGAACCAGCTGATGAAGAAAGCCATTGTCATGGCAATAACGATCTTGAGGGTCTTCCTGATACTTCTTCTTTGCCTTTCCTGTGCCGATCCATCTGCCATTCCCTGAGGCACGGAGGTGTTCTTGATATACCTAACAATATAAAACTTAAGTAGTACTTATCTAACTACTAACTAGTAATAACCAAAAGTTACGGAGTGGGCGCGACAACGATCGAAGGTGAAAACGCTTTTGCTCCAACGCTGCTCTGCTTTGGGCAATTTTCACGTGATAGATAGTCAAAACACGCGTGATCAGATTACGAGTGATAGACTAGGTCCAAACGCGAGTGATCAAATTGCGTTCTGTGCATTCCATTCTTTCCTAGTGGACAATGCTGGCTACATACATGCGACGCATGCGTAAAAACAACCTGGAGATTAGAATTGCGGGTTCCTCTTGTCGTCCGCAACCAGATGTAAAGAAAAAAATTGAAAAAAATTTTCAATTTCATATTGAAAATTTAAGTCAATCCCGAAAGTAAGATCTTAAAAAGACGCAAATAAATAACAAGTTACGGCTGTTCGTAGGCCGGAGTGAGTCTCACGTCCTCAAAAGATGGGTATCAAGTTAAAACTCCGCTACAAGAGCAGCACCTATTTATACAGCCCGTTAAATTCGCTCTTCTCCAGTACTTCCATGGGATTTGGACACATCACAGAGGATTTGGAAACGATCAATTTGCGCTTGTTACAGCCAAGTCTTGTTATTTATCACAGAGAATGTTGCTCTCCTCTAAAGGCTTCAAAACATAAGACTTGGTCGATACTTTTAGGGTTGGCATTATTCGGCTAATGGTAAATAGAAAGTTGTGATTTATGTGTCTTAACGCTGATTGCAGCGCAGATGAACCCGATGTTTCCTGTGAAATTGACATAGCAAATACTTCCAGTGTCGCATCAAAAGAAAATAAACAAACAGATAATAGAAAAAAGCCTCAACATCATTAAATGAAAGTTTATTGATACCTTTGAGGCATTATTTCTTGAATATTACTGGAAACCAACATCGTTTCTGTGCCAGATTGACTGAGCAATTTCTCAATTTGAATGAGCCAGTAACGTCTTATATGAGTAAAGCCCCGTGCAAACGGACGTAACATTGTTGGCCAACAACTCCCAAAATTGTTGGATGTAACAAACTTTTCCCAACAACTCGCAACAACATGCAACAGGGTGCGCAAACGAGCGCAACATGTGATGTTGCGGCCGTTTGCATGGGGCTTGTGAATTACCATCGACAAACACTTCAGACAAGTCTTACACGCTAGTTTACAATCAAGGTTACCTGTCATCGTGACGATAAGCTATTTTCGTATATTTTAAGTATCTTAGTTTGACAAAAGCCCTTAAGGTCCTTAAGGCCTCATCTCCTCTTTAACGCCACGAAGCGCGTCACAAGCCCCCTCCCCTATGCTTAGGGAGGGGGGTATTCCGCAGTTAAAGTGAGTTAAAGTGACAGAGATAATCTAAGGATTGGCTAGTCTAAGTATGATAATTTGGCAAACATTTTCTTGAGTGCCTTCATTACATTTAAGATTTTTTGGGTATTCAAAACAATCTGAAGATTGGTGTCGCACCTCGTGAGTACTGCTCGCGGGTAGTTCTAGATTGCCAGACGAGGAAAAGAAAAATTCATGTGATACGATGAACAGACAACCGAGATCATTCAAATTTCGTTTTCTTTGCCCTCTGTAATCATCATTTACTCCTTTACGATAACTTTTTAAGGCTCAGTTATTCGGCCTGGGACTTTTGGTGATTACTTTTTGGTCCATGTCGTTTTGTTAAGTTTTTTTATTTTTTGCCCCCTTTCGATTATCCCGGTCGCTTTAACCCTTCAGTACGCACTCTGGAATAACAGGCAGATGGGTAACAGTGAAACAAATGATTAAACTAAATATCAGATTGCATACACCCTGTAATTTTTTAGTATGACCTCGGTGAAAGGAATTAAACTGGAAGTCAAAGTCTTGGGACCTTTCCAGTGATATTAGTAGACCTAGTGACCTCCCCTCTACTACCCCCAACAATGTTGAATTTTGAGGAAGATGGGTTGAAAGTAGTCCTTCTCTAGCCTGCGTATCAAGCGTTTCCTTGTAGTTTCGGAGCAAAGAAAGACCGAGGAATAACGAGGAACGGTATTTTCGGTGTTTTACTCGCCCCATTTTACGTTTCTGGGAAACTCTCCACCTACCCTTCCCCTAAACCAACATTTTGCCCTAAGTAATAACTAGGTGTTATTGTTGGTTTAGGGAAGGGGTAGATGGGGAGTTTCATAGCAACGCAAAATGATCCGGAAAAGGTTCAACTCACAGTTACTTGGATGGATTTTTCCACACTGTGCCAAGTTCGCTAGGTTTAGTAAGACTGATTAAATGCCACACGCATTTAAAGTAAAAAAGCAAGCAAAAAAGTTGAATACCTGTAAATTCCTGTAAAGCTGCAAATGATGACTAACAGAGGGATAAAGAAGCCAAACAGGGTCAGGTATATGATGTAAGCCTGGTCAGACAGTTTTGACGAATACCAATCCGGGTGGCAGCTAATTCTCGAGGGAATGGGAATGAATCTGTTCCAGCCAAACGCTGGAGGTATTGTCAGCATGATCGCGTATATCCAAGTCCCTTTTAAAACCAAAAATTTACAAAAGATTGTGTTACTATAATGTAATTGCAGTATATGATTCTTGGTCGTTTTTCTGACTTAAGTTAAAAACGATGAAAACACGATTGTGCTGAAAAAAGATCCTGGTGGGAAAGTTATATATAGGGTCAAGAAATGCTCGAATGTCGCTTAGAAATACTTTTGATTACCAGCAAGCCAAGTCCAGGGTACTGCATGTCTCTTGGTGATACTCAAGGCTCGCTGAGACGCTGTTTTTCTTTTTCATTTTGCTGTGTCAAAATGATTTTCTTTTGTATTTTTTTCGCTTATTACTCATCCTAGTGCGCTCGCTGTGATACTAGTTTTGCAAGGAAATTTCTTGTAGATGACAAAATAATGGCCTCATGACAGTCAATACTTATGTACCGCAAGCTCTGTTCTTAAATTTGCAAACGAGAGAGATAAACTTCGAAAAACTATAATGGGCCGGGCGGGACAGTTTTCAATAACCCAAGTTGTAATCCGTTTCTGAATCGCCTTCAACTTTGCCCATTTTTTGGCATCTTTTGTGTTTGCTCTATTCCTTAACCCTTTCATAAATGGTTTAAGCCGTTACATTTAGTTTTCGCTAGTTCCTAGAAAGCAAGAAGTCTCTCTTTTGCTCAAAAATCTGTGAGCGAGCACGATATGCAGGGGTCTAATACGAGCGGCGGTGGCGCCAACACAACTCGCTGTTCGCGACTTCGCCTCTCGCATACTCAAATATCGGCCTCGATCACAGATTCTCGAGCAAAAGAGACTGCTTGCAATCTGGCTATAGGTCGTGGTGGTTGCGTTTCTCTAAATTTCCTATGACAACTCCTCTTACCCTACCTGAAATAAGTAAGACCTCAAGTTTACGGCTCATTCTGTTCTGCTGTGAAAACTCGTTTCTCGCGATGCCCCGATAACTCAGGACTGCCATGGCAGTCAGGGAAGCGATTGAAGCCAGACCCGTGACACAGTTTACAATGGCCAACCAAAAGCAGAGCACTGGTGCTTCGCCAGTGTTGGCAAAATCTGTCGTGTTGTAGCTGACAGCTACAGTGTAACCTAGTAGGCACACTAGAAGATCTGCAGATAATAAAAGGTACCTTAATAGAATAATGGTAGCCTTACGTTCAACCTTTTAACATCACAGGGGCACCCAACGACTGTTTTCTTTAAAATATCTGTTCGGAGAAAACAAATATTGCTTTGAATTTTCTATTACTCGAGAGCGGCTAAAAATTTCTTGATGACCGTTCCATTCAGGTACAAGTTTCATGTATTTTTCACATTTCACTCCCCAGGTTAGGCTACTTTTCGTAGAAAAAAGGACACCTAAAATTTTCGGATTCAAAAATGTGTTGAAGAGAGAAATCAGAAAAATTCTCTCTTTCGTAATATACGTTAAAATGCATCTAAAATTTTCAGGAAAATAATACTGAAGCCCTTAAAATCTCGAAAAGACTCAAGTTCCCCTAGGATGACCAAACAACAGATACAAATTTTATAGCGCGCTTATGATGCATTTCTAAAGATCTAAAAGTACTCTGGATAGCTTAAAAAGTGTTTTCAGTGTATGTAGGAGGAAACTGTCGTTGGGTGCCCCTGAAATTAGTGTTTTGTCACAGTTTCGTACAATGTAAGGGAATCCGAATTCAGGAGTCCGGAATCCAAGTTCCACTGAAAAAAAATCAGGAATACAGTAACCGGAATCTGGAATCCACGACGTGGAATCTAGAATCCACTGAAGAATTGTCGCAAAAATCCTGCCAAATTTCACGATAGATTCGTTTTGGCTGGCTATAGTTAGTTCTTGTTAGAAAGCTACCGAGGCCTTAAGGGACCGGCCTATATTTTAGCCGAATTTTTGAAAACATGTCTCAAAACGGACCAGAATATTCATCATGAGAATATTCGCACACTTTAGTTGAGTCTGTTTAAGCTGTGAGGCTTCGAGGAGCCAGCTAGTGCGGTTTTCATAAATCCGGCTAGATGTATCTAGCACTCTATTTGATAATTGATATCTTGATTGAAATACCTGCGGCACACAAGTTCACCATCATACTTGTCATGCGTTTTTTCCGGTGGTGAGGATGAAACAAGATAATCAGTGTCAGTGTGTTGCCAAGGAGACCCAAGGTCAGTATGATAAACATAGACGATCCATAATATGCATACAGCGGTCTCTCTCCATGAAGCTCATAAGAGGATATAGCCATGTTTTTTAACTGCTTTGGTTTCCTGGTGTCCCGTCAGTTTACTTACTCTGGCAAAAGAAGGAGAATACAACGGTCAGGAGAATTTGTCGTAATCAGTGTTCATCAGACTGAATCAGTTTGACCAAAGGGACTCAAAAAGACTGTGGACCGTACTTGAATAGACATTTATCGTGCAGAGTACATGAATGTTAATCAATTAAAACGGAATTACAATAGGCACACTTGAAAGGCTTGGATTATTTTTTTCGAACACGTATTTTCAAACGTTTGCAGATTGAATATCCTTAAACCAATGTGATTATTCTTGCAGACAAGCCTACCCGTTCTCTATGTAAAGAATTGTCAAAAAAAAGATGCCCAGTGACTTACAACGTCTGGCACTTACAAAGAATCGCATAACTTTTAACAGTGTGTGTTTTAATTTTTGCAAATTCACAAGCATCATAGAAAAGTAGAATAACGCAAAAACAAGCTAAATCATGTTGAGGACTGCAGTTATTTCTAATTTGAAAAGACGGCATTTAGAGCATATTTAACTTATTCCACTATAAACTGTGATTCAAATTAATTAAAATCGGCTCCTGCTTTTGTAAAGTATAGGCTGCCTATTGTGCATTTGAGTTGTTTTTTAGAACAAAACTGGAGATAAACACCTTTGGGAGAACTGATCCATTAAGAAAACGACTATTTTAAAGACTTCTGTATTTTAAGCAATAAAGATTGCCAAAGGTGAATACTAACCTAGAACCAGATAGTGTAGAAGAATATTTGGATGAACTGTAAGTACTATAAAATGACATCTGCCGACAAGACTTACCTTGAAAATTAAATTAATCAGTGAACTGCTCTTAATTTTTAGAATTCCTTGAATCGAATACAGCAATTGACTGTCGAGGTTCAGTGTGGGCATCGTAGGTAAATGTGACGCCTTTTGTCAGAACTTGTCATTGTTTGTTATATTATTTATTACTTTAAAAAACCGTTGTATCCTGTACAAGAAAACAAATACTGTAACCAGGAAAAAAATTGTCTTTTGGGTGGTTCTCTATTCTCAAGTAATGCGTTAACTTTTCAGTGTATCTTATCGATATTTTGCCATGAAGTTAAACGACTGCCGGTGTTTCTAGGGAATTTTTCTAACCTAGTTTTCTTATTTATTACCATTTTGTCACTACTACCTGCCCTCGTAAAGGCAGACAAATTACGGTAAAGAACCTTTCTCCATCTCCTTCTTCTAAAATCAGATCACAAACCGATTTGAAAGCTTTTAATCAAAATTTGCCTCTCTTAAACATAGAGATGTTCACCTGGGTTGGTGCGGAATTAATGAAAGGGTCAATTTTCCTGTTCGACTTTCAAAACAGACGAATTAAGAAATGTCTAAGCCCTAAATTCGAAAATCATCCACGCTGCAGTTCATTTTATATTACACTTGGATCAATAATAAATCAATAATGTATTATTATTATTATTATTATTCAAAATTATTATTTTTGTTATTATTATTACTATTATTATGATGATAATAAGCTAAAAATTCAAGAGCTTTTAATTAAACAGCCAATGGCTATTCAATATCTCGTACATTCGTGAACTTATTCCGGCGGCAGAGATCCAAGCCTTCCGCACAAGATTTTCTAGGAAACAGACGGCAAACCACCTTTTATAAACGACATGAAGCCACTTAAACGGCTGTGTGAAAAGCCGAACTGTCCATGTGATCACAACAGATTCACAAAAGATTTTACTCATTAGTATGCGGGCGGTTCCTTACATGTAAAATTGAGGTTCATCACAAGAGAAGTTGAAAGTGCGCGAGTGGCCCGAGCTCAAAGTTTAGAGTAAAATACTAAAAGGGTGATGAGTTTTAACCCTTTTAAGCCCTAAGAGTGATCAGTGCAAATTTCTCCTTGTATTATCACTGCTTTATAAAACACAGTGGTCATGAGAATTGAGGACAGGATCACACAAGATGAATTTAATTGATACTTCAACAGACTCTCCCCACGACTTCTATTGAAAACATATAGGGACAACAAATGAGAATTTGAATATTGATATTAGGGTTTAAAGGGTTAAAACATAGAATGAAAAAAGATACGACGATGTTTTCGTTCAACGAACATAGATCGTAAAAACCAAACTGGCAAAAAAGGAAAGGTAATAAAATTGTTCATGTTTTTCGCGTGCAAGTAAGGGGCAACAATTCTTATTATTTGCCTGTGGGGTATTTCTATTCAACGGTAATTACCCCTCAGTAAATCACCATACTGAAAAATTTCAGAACAGTTATTTGCAGTTTAGACTTTCACTAGCTGAAGAAAATATTTTTGCTTGTTTGCCTTCAACTGAGCTACAAAAACTGTGCAGAAACTTTATTCATTAATAGATTTACCAATTAAAAATCCTCCTCTGTAGACAAAACATGCTCACTCTACTTTCATCAGCCTTATCAAGCTCTGGAGCATCTTGAGAGCTATTTTGATCAAAATAAGTGAAATTCACATCATCTGTTATTTCATGCCCAGATCTAATTTTCGTAAATGCTTTCCATCGCAAAAAACTTCTCCCCGTTATGCAGACTTATAGCGCTCAGTAGAGTGATAGCGATCGAGGTAACTGCAAAATAAAAAAGCACTTAGACATATCAGTCTCAGAATCAGTAATTTTCCCAGAATCTCTTCCTTTTCTTTCTCCAAAAGTGAACGTTCTTTAATAGCCTTGAGGCAGAACCTTTTGTTCACAACGGAACAGATGGAATTTCAGCCCAATTTATCTTGTTATTTGTCTCAATCAGATGATTTTATATATTTTGAAAAAAAAAAAAAATGTCACTAGTCGTCTCCAGTTGAGACGACAAAGGGATTGTAACAAAGAAAAGAGATTTTCGGGGAAGGAAGAAAATAACTCATCCGGTATTATCTTTGTTTTGTTATAAATTATATTTTTTAGAAAAACTATTTAAGCGTGATTAGGATTGCAGCAGGTGAACACTGCATGTTTTCAAAGCTGCTTTCAATAAATTAATAAGAATGAAAACGGGTAAATTTTAAGCTTCGTGGCGAGTTCATTTTTTTGGAAAAAAGGCAGAAATACGCACGCTAAGAAACGGTTAGTTACCAAGGACAAGTTTTCTGAAATCCTTTTTAATTAGTATAACAGTTCAATGTGTTCTCTATCGTATTTCACAGATGAAAACAAACAACGTTATTAAAAATTGTCTTCTGTTATAAGATTAAGGCAATCTTAAATCAAGTAGCTAAGGCACAGGGGCTCCCAACGACGTTTTTCTCCAAAACACGTTGAAAACACTTTTTAGGCTTATCAGTGTTTTAGATCTCTAGAAATGTATTCTAAGCGGTGGTATAAAAGTTTTATCTTTTCAGTCATCCTAGAGGAACTTAAGGCTTTTCGAAATCAGAATGACCTCTCTCAGTATTATTTTTCCGAAAATTTTATGTACAATGTAACGTTTTACGAAAGTGAGAATTTTAATTATTTGTGATTCCTCTCTTCATCACATTTTTAATTAGTCTATCAGAAAATTTTAGGTTTCGTTTTTCTAAAAAAACCTATGGTTAGTAAAATATGAAAAATTAAACTTAAGAAAATCTTATGGAATTTATTAGATAAGCTTCGAAAATTGTAGATGGATGGAACGTTCATCTAGAAATTTTTAGCCGTCCTCAAACAAAAGAAAATTTCTAGCCAGTATTTCCTTCTCCGAACAGAATTATTTTACAGAAAACAGACGTCGGGTGCCCATGAGGTAGCATGTAAGAAATCTTTTGCAACTCACCAAATCACCAACCAGTGAAGATTAACAGATTTACGTTTTCTGAAGAAGACAAGGATTATATCGTAAAGCATTGCTTCAGCTCGTAAAAAGGCAAGACTATATATATATATATATATATATAATATATCCCATACAGCTACTAGAAGTCAACTAGGAAATTAGGAGACATTGCATTCAGAAAACCAAACCATACTGCCGGCTCCAAATATCAGGGGCTCCCAACGACTGTTTTCTGTAAAATATCTGTTCGGAGAAGCAAAATAATTATAATGCCTTGTCGAATTTTCTATTACTTGAGGACGGCTAAAAAATTCTAGATAACCGTTCCATTCATGTACAATTTTCGAAGCTTATCAAATAATTTCCCTACGATTTGTTAAAGTTTATTTTTTTCGCCCCATCACCATTTCACTCCTCAGGTTAATGTTAGTCAATTTTTCGTAGGAAAAAGGAACCTAAAATTTTCGGAACCAAAAATGCGATGGAGAGAGGAATCAGGAAAATTCTCACTTCAGTCCTAATACGTTAAATTGCATCTAAAATTTTTCTGGAAAATGTAATCATGAAGCCCTTCAATTGTATTTCGAAAAGACTCGAGTTCCCCTAGGATGACCAAACAGACACCAATTTTATAGCGCCACTTAGCCGGAATGCATTTCTAGAGGTTTAAAAGTACTCTGAATAGCGTAAAAAGTGTTTTCAATGCATTTCGGAGGAAAAAATATAAGAAATCAATTTTTACATTAAATAGGTTGATGCTATACGAAATTATTGGTAATC